CAATAAATGTCCAACTAGCCATTCTAATATGCAGTCATGAATGGGTTGACATTATTTGTACAATTATTACAATATTGCTGTAGTCTGCATAACAGTAAATCTTCTATTTTTTGTTTGAATAAAAATTCAAAATAGAAAGCAAGAGTAATATCAGAAGGACCTCGAGACATGACTGATGAACAAAGAAAATGTTATTTTAGAGCCAGGAATGTCTGCATTGTTCATTCTGGACCTTATTTTGAAATTGTCATATTTTTTAATTTTCGTGAAATTGGCCAAATTGCAAATTTCTGACCACGTTATTGGGTAGTTGAAATCGGTAAATGGGCAGTTTCTTGTGCTTAATTGATTGAAAAAATGGAGTTCTAAAGAAATAGCTATTAGTTTGGTCGACTGGAACAATGGAATTAGCCGAAAACAGGGCTCAAAGTGGGCGAAATCACCTATTTGTAAATATTGCCAAGGTCGCTAACTTTGTGAGGGCGTAATTCCCTCAGTTTTCCATCAAATTTCGATTTTTTTGGTGTCATTACAATCGGGAAAAGATTCTCTTATCATTTCATAAGAAAAAATATAGTATATATATTTTTTTTTTTAATTTTGCGACACCAGGAGACACCTCAGGATTGGGGATTGCGACAGTCAAGGGGTTAAGGGTTAATAATAATACGTAATTTCTTGGGCATATTAAATGTCATTTTTTTTTTCAACAAACTGGCCGTATCCCACCAAGGCAGGGTGGCCAAAAAGAAAAACGAAAGTTTCTCTTTTTAAATTTAGTAATTTATACAGGAGAAGGGGTTACTAACCCCTTGCTCCCGGCATTTTAGTTGCCTCTTACAACACGCATGGCTTACAGAGGAAGAATTCTGTTCCACTTCCCCATGGAGATAAGAGGAAATGAACAAGAACAAGAACTAGAAAGAAAATAGAAGAAAACCCAGAGGGGTGTGTGTGTATATATATATATGTTTGTACATGTATGTGTAGTGTGACCTAAGTGTAAGTAGAAGTAGCAAGACGTACCTGAAATCTTGCATGTTTATGAGACTGACAAAAGACACCAGCAATCCTACCATCATGTAAAACAATTACAGGCTTCAGTTTTACACTCACTTGGCAGGACGGTAGTACCTCCCTGGGCGGTTGCTGTTTACCAACCTACTACTTAGAATTAAATGTCGTATATTACGTTAATATAGACATTTCCATTAATCCATCAATGATATATTTTAGAAATTATATAATAAACATGCTACGTAACATATAAACAGGATAAATCTACCCCACAGTAGAATAAATTAACATAAATGTGAGATGTGGTAGCCAGGCGACTTGTAGGAGTGATGGCAAGAATAACGTTTTCTCTAGTTCAACATCAGAGAAAATGTGTACACTATAATATTACTGGGGGTAACTAGAAAATTATTCCTTTCATATGCCTTCACTCAGAGCGCCATTTCTTCTAGAAATGGTGTTACATGAAAATGGAAGTGTTCCTCTTTATTCTACTGTATCAGTGTGGAAACAACCTGTACACAATGTAAAGTGTTTGTACAGTATTATGGTATGAACAAAAACCAGACAGGTTTGCCTGGTTTGTTTACATTACATGTAGGTGAGGTGGGCTGCCCTGGCTGGCTACCATACTTCCCAAACCTTACTTACTATAAATAAAACTCACCTCTTACCCTACAGTAAGACTACAAATATTTTAAGGTATTGAATGTACTGTATATGTATTTCATTGCTCTGGGGCGCTTTGAACGTGGTATATTACGTGTGGGTGGGGTGGGCTGACGTGGCTGGCTACTATACTTCCCAGACCTGACTTCCTACAAATAAAACTCGCCTCTCACCCTACATTAAGACTACAAATATTTTAAGGTAAGTAATGGGTGTACTGTGTGTGTATTTTACTTTTTATTGTTTTTAATGCCTAGTCCTATTGCTAAATTAATATACATTAGTGTAAACTTGTTATCTGGCATATATAAGTAGAAAAAAATGGTGTTCTGCTTTCCGGTGATGTCCGCTTTTCGGTAGTAGCCTGGAACCTAACCTGCCGTGTAAGTGGGGCCCTACTGTATAGCACTTTGTCTAGATTTTTTGGGATATCCTTGGTAATTTACACTATTTATAATTGTACAGTGGACCCCCAGTTCACGAAGCCATCGGTATCCGATAAATCCGGTATCCGAAGCATTATATCGCAAAAAAATTGCCTCGGTTCCCGTTACAAAACCCGGTATGCGATACGATTCGTACGAGACGTGTCCACGTGTGGCCTGAACTGCCCCGTGTGTGCCAGTGTTTACAAGCCAGCCATTGTGCGCGCATTTAAGGATACATTCGGTACATTCCATATTATCCATATTATCACTGTTTTTGGTGCTTGTTTCTGCAAAATAAGTCACCATGGGCCCCAAGAAAGCTTCTAGTGCCAACCCATCGAGACCAAGGGTGCTAATGACTATTGAAATTAAGGAAATGTGTGCAAAGTGGCTTGAAGTGCAAACCTTTTTTGATGAAAAGCACCCTGACACAGCTACTGCAAGCCGTGTTGGCAACCTGTACACTGACAATGTTGTGAACCACTTTAGGAAAGTCACAAAGGAACGAGAAGTACAGGCCTCTATGGACAGATATGTTGTGCGACAGAAATCCAGTGACTCTCAAGCTGGTCCTAGTGGCATTAAAAGAAGAAGGGAAGTAACCCCAGAAAAGGACTTGCTACCTCAAGTCCTAATGGAGGGGGATTCCCCTTCTAAACATTAAAAACTTTGACACTCTCCCCTCCTCCCATCCCATCAATCATCACCAGATCTTCATTAAAGGTAAGTGTCAATTATTCTATTGTGATTATTCTATTGTTATTATTGTTATTGTAATTATTATATTGGATTAAACTTAATATTTCATGTGGTAAAAGTTTTTTTTTCATACTTTTGGGTGTCTTGCACGGATTAATTTGATTTCCATTATTTCTTATGGGGAAAATTGATTCGCTTTCCGATAATTTTGGTTTACAATGAGCTCTCAGGAACGGATTAATATCGTGAACCTGGGGTCCACTGTATTTATGTGTACCTGTGAGACAGAGGCAGAAATAGACAGGTGCAGAGTTAGACAGAGGCAGAGATAGACATAGGCAAAGTTAGACAGAGGCAGAGATAGACAGAGGCAGAGATAGAGAGAGATAAAGAGATAGATAGACAGCAATAGAGACAGCCAGAGATAGATACAGACAGACAGACGGAGATAGAGACAGCCAGGCAGCCGAACACGTATTACACGGTCCAGAATTGTTTCTCTTTACTTAGGGCATAGGTTATAGGACATTCTGGCAGGATGACACTACCAGTGGTACCAAAATTGAAAGGATGTTGCACAAATGTTGCCCATGGGTTATTATTGAGGTTTTTGACATTTCCTCGACCACTTATGGCCACATCCACCTCAAAGCCACTAAACTTGGGGTCAGTATCACTTTTCTCTTAAAAGGAGTGTTAATACGATATGACATCAGTGAATCCCTGGTGTTTGCTGCTCTGCTTGGTCTAGCTGGCGCTCCCACAAGGTGTACTAAGTTTTCCCAGATTTTTTTTAATACTGCACACATTGAGTATCAAGACCCATTCTTTGCTGACCAGGCATCTCAAGCCAATCGTGCCAAATTTGGAGGCAGGAAAACTAAAAGGTTGATCTATGTTTGGAGCGCTAGCGGTAACAACGTAGCTTTACGTCTGGACAGCTAAGGGGTTAAGTTGGTATTTGCTTTACGGTGGCAGTCTGGAACATAACTCGCTGTATTAATGAGGTATTCCTGTGCCTACTATATTCTTGTGTTCACCCTCAATGCTTTTTGCTAGTTATCCTTGAATTTCAGCCACCACTTTTCTGTGCAATACTGAATGACTCACATGGGTTTAACATCTATGAATACTATGATAAATAAATTTTTGACTGTCAGAGTTATCTTTGTTTTATATTTAAATATGCAAGTGTTAGGTATTTAACAGTTTTGAAGAAAAAGCTTTATTGGAACAATAATTATGGTCACCCAGTAGCATTTGTATGAAGCATTAAAACTTTGTAGCAAAATCTGTCATTATTAGCTATTTTGTAACAAGATACACTTCTTAACCCTTAAACTGTCCAAATGTAGATCTACGTTTTTTCGTAAATTTTCGTAATTTTTTTTCTTTTTTTTACATTTGAAAACATGTAAAAAAACTTTGATCTACGTTTTTTTGTTATACAGTGGATCCCCGCATAACGATTACCTCCGAATGCGACCAATTATGTAAGTGTAATTATGTAAGTGCGTTTGTACGTGTATGTTTGGGGGTCTGAAATGGACTAATCTACTTCACAATATTCCTTATGGGAACAAATTCGGTCAGTACTGGCACCTGAACATACTTCTGGAGTGAAAAAATATCGTTAACCGGGGGTCAACTGTATTTGAAAATATGTAAAAAAAACGTATATCTACTTTTGGAGCACTACGCATGTGAACATAGATCTGTTTGGACAGTTTAAGGGTTAAAAGTGTACAGTGTGTCACACAAAATGTTTAGTACTGTACATACTGAACACATTAAAATACTGTATAAAGTATAAAGGTTCCTAGTATGTGAGTGATTAACACAATTCATTACCACTTGTTTCATGGTTTCATTACTATATAGACTGCTTGTGGAGGCTGTTATTCAAAAGGGAGGAGGTTGACATTAGCCCTGAGTTTACCACTGCCATGAGTGTCCTCATACCATGAGTAACACCTAGCTCTGCTGGGTGCATGGTATTTGTAGGATTTATGGTTGAGAGGTTAGGGAAACGTGTACATTGTCTTGTCTCATGGGGTGGGACAGTGTGACGTGGGATCGAATCTCAGCCAGTCACAGTTTAGTAAATGATTTACTATATATGAACATGTGTGCAGATTTAATAAGTAGGGGCTCTCATTTTTACAATTTTTTTTTCTATTGTAACAGATGCTGGATGGGTTGTTGCCTGATTCCCTGCTGTATTAATGACTGCATGAATGTGGAACACAATTGTCCTAACTGCCAAGCCTTTTTGGGCAAATACAAGCGAGGGTAGAGAGGACAATTGCCAACTTCCTCGTTTGTCTCCTCATAAATGGTGGCTATTACTTTAGTGGATGGCATACATGGCTGAAGAAACACACACACACACACACACACACACATACTACTATACTTAAAAAAAACATTGTTAAAACACTTTCACACCATTCACCAAAGCTTAATATATTTCTTTAATACGTTTATGTAAGAATGATGTTAATGGTGTGGTGAAATATGATTATTAGTCATAATTCATTGCATTCTGATAACATTTGTGGTAAACATTTTGTGAAATGGTTTGAATACTGTGTAACTTAGCCATAATTAGGACAGAAAATGAAGGTAAAATATACAGTACGTGTATAGATATATATACGGTGGTACCTCAGGATATGAATCTTTTTCGTTCCAGAAGGCTGTTCGAGTGCTGATACCGAACGAATTTGTTCCTATAAGGAATAATGTAAATCAGATTAATCCGTTTCAGACCCCCGAAAATACACTTACAAAAGCACTTACATAATTGTTCGAGTTTTGAGCTGTTCGTATCCCGAGGTACCGCTCTGTATATAAAATTTATTATGGGAAATATTTTGTGTAATACTTGAACCAAAATATTCTATAGGATACTTTCTGTATATTAGTTTTACATAGCCATGGACTAAGTGTCCATTTTACCAATTCCAATCAGTCTTGTGTAACTATCTATTTATCTATATATGTATATATATATATATATATATATATATATATTTTTTCAACATAGTCCATGGCTATGTAAAACTAATATACAGAAAGTATCCTATAGAATATTTTGGTTCAAGTATTACACAAAATATTTCTCATAATAAATTTTGTATTAGAAAATGTATTTTAACCCTTTCATTGTCAGTCCCATAATATTACAGCTTGAGAGCCAACGTCGGTCCCATAATACTACGCCAAAATTCTATCTCCTTCAAATCTGGTGGAAGAAAGCTGGTAGGCCTACATATGAAAGAATGGGTCTGAGTGGTCAGTGTGCACAGTATAAAAAAAATCCTGCAGCATGCAGTGCATGAGAAAAAAAACTGACCGTGTTTTTGGTTTAAAACAGTGACTTTGCGGTGTATTTTTGTATGGTATTTATGGTTGTATTCCTGTTTTCTTGGTCTCATTTGATAGAATGGAAGATATATTACAGAAATGGAGATGATTTTGATTGGTTTCATTATGAAAAATATCTTGAAATTGAGCTCAAAGTAGCGGAAATGTTCGATTTTTGCCGATGTTCAAGAGTAAACAAATGACGTCACTGTTCAATACGTGCCCAACTGGCCAGTCTAATACACAGTCACGAATGGGTTGACAATATTTATACAATTATAATAATACAGTAGTCTGCGTAACAGTAAATCTTCTATTTTTTGTGAAAATAAAAATTCAAAATGGAAAGCAAGAGCAATATAAGAAGGGCCTGGAGATGTGAGAATGAAAAAAGAAAATTTTATTTTAGGGCCAGGAATGTCTGTCCTGTTTATTTTGGACCCTATTTTGAACTTGGCCAAATTGCCAATTTCTGACCACTTTATTGGGTAGTTGAAATCGGTAAATGAGAGTTTTCCTGTAATCAATGGAGTTCTAGCAAAATAGCTACAATTTTCATCGACTAGAACGATGGAATTGGCTGAAAATAGGGCCAAAGTGGACGAAATCGCTGATGCGTAAATATCGCCAAGATCACTAACTTCACACGTGCGTCATTTTGTAAGTTTTCCATCAAATTTCGTACTTTTGGTGTCACTACCATTGGGAAAAGATTCTCTATCATTTCGTAAGAATTTTGTTTTTGTTTTGAAAACTTTTTGACACAGAATAAGTCAAGGATCAGGGGTCTCAACACTGAAAGGGTTAATTACTAAAGAGCAGTAATACCAGATCCTGACCAAATTATGTTAAGTAGCACAGTCTTCTTGGAAGAAATATAACTGCTGCAGCTCAGCCACTAGAGCCTCCAAATATATTTTTATAATTTCTGAATCTAGGAAAATGTGAACTTTCTATGAATGAACTTGATTGACTCATCTGGAATCAAGAATGGAATACATAGGTTTGTTAACAATTTGCAGTGCTTAATTCTCAGATATTGGCATTTAATACACTAATATATAGTGATGGAATTAACTAGTTTTAAGGATTGTGACACTCCAGCTTGTCACCGAACACCATATGCTAAGAATTTGAATTTCCTGATCATGGTTGCTTTTGAACTTCATTTATGAGAATTCTCTGTTAATTTTACAATACTGTATCTAGTAATCAAATGATGGCTGAAAAAGTTAATAAAACAAAGATTTTGTGTCCTTTTACTATTTTGAAAATATTGTATTAATACATAATTTTTGCTTGGTTGAATTTTCACTGATAATGTAATTACTTAGCTACTGGTTTCATACTCATGAGAATATGGTATCTTTATTATGTTTATTAATTTATGAGTTGGTGGCAAAATGAATAGGTTTTAAAATGAGCTAACCTTGAGTAACACCACTTTCAGGTTCTCCAGATACACTGGTAATTTATATGATTCTCTCAATAGTTACTTGCAAGTGCTCATCTAATGGAATGGAAACCTTATGCCAATTAAATGCTTTAACTTGTGATATAGAACTTTGTAGCTAGTCTTATTTATTATGAAGGTTTGTTTTTTATCATGAGTCTTGCATCTGAGATACACTAATGTAAGAAATGCCAAAGCTATGAGACTGAAGTTTTCCGTAAAAAGACTGTAATTAGATATAAAACTTCGGTGTGTTATAAACTCGTCTTAAGCCATAAAATTTTGTCATAATTTTGACCCCACACAACCTAGATTTTTGAATTTGGGTATTTTAAACAAATAATTTGTATTTTATTTGAATGGCCTTTCTTCAGTTTAGTTGCATATTACCTTAGACATTTTGTTTTATTTATAATTATATGTATTTTCTGAATCTCTCTAACAAGCAGTTAGGTTTATAATAAAACCTTTGTTATGGACTTGTTGATATTGTAGATTAGGAAAGTAATTTTTAAGAGTTCAACTCTTGCTATTCTTCCGTACATGTGAAAAGTGCCTTGTTGATTAGTTCAGAAAGGAATAATGTTATGGTAGGCCAAGAGAAACTATAAAGTTTGGTCACTTCTACAAAATATAAAAGTGATAGATGTACAGTTTCATCAGGCTAAATCAACCAGAAAAACAAAATAAAAATTATTCTGTCAGAGCAGTGTGTAGATTTCACACCAGCAGTTCTGATCTTGAGTAGGGTTGGTGGCTCATTCCTGGCAATTTTTTTTTTATTGTAAGCAGAAGTTGAAAATGTTTTTAATATAGCACTTTCATAATATGTGTGCTTTCATTTTTCATACTAGAACAAATGTTTCAAAACTTTGTTTTGGCAGTCAGCTGTGTTATAGATTCATTTCTGTATTGCATATAGTTCAGACTAATTACTGCTTGTACATTTCATCTTGAAGTGTGTATACACAAAAGTTTCACTACCTGTCTTTTGCAGAAAATACACACAAAATGTGTTTGGTATAATAAATATTGGGCTTTGTCACATCCTTTTAATTACTACAAATTTGTTGTCTTAAATGAGTGTGATTTGATATATAGCCTTAAAATATTTTCATAAACCAATACTGAACAGTACATAAAAATACTGATGTATCTAATCTTACATGTTTCCAAGTTTTTCAGTTATGCACACAGTAATATGTGCTAAAGATTGTGTTGTTATTCATAAAATTGTGTTATTCATAATAGTACCACTGTAATATTGTACAGTAGGGCCCCACTTATACAGCTGGTTAGCTTCCAGGCTACCGCTGTAAAGTGGAAATTGCCGTAAAGTGGAACTCCCTTTTTTTCCACTTATTATCTAGCATTTGTATGCATTTATAAGTTTACACTAACACATATTAAGTTAGCAGTAAAACCAGGCATTAAAAACAAAAAAGTAAAATACACATATAGTAAACACTCATTACTTACCTTCAAATATTTGTAGTCTTAATGTAGGGTGAGACGAGTAGTATTTAAAGTAAGAAATCAGGTGTTGTAGGTATGGTAGCCAGCCAGGCCATCCCACCCCATCCACTTAACATTTAAAGCATCCCAGAGTGATAAAATGCACATACAGTTTACTCATTACTTACCTTAAAATATTTCTAGTCTTAATGCAGGGCGAGAGGTGAGTCGAGATAAAATGAATAAACGAGAGAGAATGAGTAAATGAGAGAGGACAGAGACACGTAGGATGTAAACAAACACATGTTTGTATTATACCATAATACAAACACTTTACATTGTGTACAATGTAAACTGTTTGTATTATGATAATAAATAATAATAATAATAATAAAAATAATATAGCCTCTCCTCACTTAGCAACGTACTCATTTACTGATGCCTCGAACTCACGATTGTGTCCGACTAGTATTCATACCTAAATAATGTATATCAGAGCTGATTTCCTCTATTCTGGTTATTTCAATATACAGTACACTACTGTAATAAACATTTAAAAATATACCAGAAATTTTATATATGGTGCAAAGGTGACATTAAAACAATATCAAAGATGGTTGACACAAACTCACTACCATTATAGTATGCTCCTCATTTGGTGATGAATTTGTTTAATGACGTGGTCTTAGGAATGGAACTCCGTCAGTAAGTGAGGAGAGGCTGTAATGATAATAATAATAATAATAATAATAATGATAATAAATACAATATTGTTTAGCTTCCAACAGTAATATTACTGTGTACACATTATCTTTAGTGTTGAACTAGAGAAAGTGTTCTTTCTGACTGTCTGACTAGAAAAACATTTCATATTATGTTAATTATTCTACTGTGGGGTGTATTTATTATGCTTATATGTTATGTATTATTATTATTATTATAATCAAAAAGAAGTGCTAAGCCACAAGGGCTATATGTTATGTAGCATGCTTATTATTCAGTTTTGAAAAAAAATATCATAGATGGAATATTGAAAATGTGTATACAGTATTAACATATGACATTTAATATGCCTCAGAGTCATTATTATTGTGTATTATTATTATTAATATGGCATCCTCAAGACTAATAAGACACTCTTAGTGATTTTAATGTGTACCTGCATGCCAGCACAGTGTGTAAGTATTTAGGTACATATAAGCATAATTATCAGACTATATATAAAACATGAAATAACTTTAAAACGCTTGAAATTTTGGAAGGCTTCCAGACGTAATGGGGAGACACGGTACTCACGGAGCTCACAAAAAATGTAAACAAACCCGGTAGTATGCAGTGACTGTATTAGAAAGTCAGGTGGCGGGAGCCGTATAGCGAGTTTTGGTCATTACGTATTTGAAATGTCCGTATTAGCTGAACGCCGTAAAGCGGGGCCCTACTGTACTTTAAAAATATTAAAATCAGTTTACATAATTATTAAAAACAAAAATAAAGCTATAAATCTCTGTATGTAATGGAAACCAAATAAGAGGCATTGGTGCTGTGTCATGTGCCTTATTTGGAACTGAAGGAAGGAAATACTGTATGATCCTGAATGCTGGATTAAGTTAAACATTAATGCTTATTTTGCTAAGTTTTTGTACCCATTGGTCACCTAAGGTCTCTCACTAGCATATGTATTTCTTGTTAAAAAGCACCATTTTATTGACAAGAAATTTGATGTTCGGGAGTATAAAATACGTTTGAAGTGCCTGCTTCTATTTTAAGTACCAAATCTATTAAATATAATTGGATTCTATGAAATTCTTTGCATGTCCAGAGTTTTACTTCCAAGTTGTAATATCTTGTTTAAGCGATCCTGAAAACCCTCAAGAATGGTGGTTTAGGTTCTGCTCTTATGCTTATGTGTAGCTTTGGCATTCTCCTTCTCAAGAACAATGGCTAAACTGTTATTAATTAGGAATGCCAAGCACAGTACAGTATAAAGATTTATTGTACCTGTATCATATATTTTGAAAATATAAATTCAAACAGTTTTCCTCCCACTTATAGTGGGAAAATTACATCTGCAATCAAGTTCATTATTATTTTTCAGTTTTTGAATATTTGGCAAGTCAGGGATGTGAATTGAAGAAATCTTGACTGTCACAATAATCTTAATTTTTATTATATTTTTTTGCCATTCACTGAGGTTTTTTTTTTTTATTCTGTATACAAATTCTCCAAGAGGTATTGCTATATTAATTATATATATATATATATATATATATATATATATATATATATATATATATATATATATATATATATATATATATATATATATATATATATATATATATATATAAATAAACCCCTAAACCATGTTGCTATAGTAAATACTAAAAATTATAATTTCTAATGGCAGTGGACTTTGCTTTAGATTTAGATGTACCTTTTTTTTTCCTCATGAAGATTAGTTTAAGGAAGATACTGGCCTATTAACTAACTTCTATGCATACATGTTACCATCCATTTTGTTTATTACAACACTAATAGCTCAATAAAGAGATATGGAAATATAAAGGTATATATTTCTTTCATCTAATATTTAATTATGTAATTATTATTATTGACCAGGCCATGGGGGCGTCGACCCCAGGAACCCACTCCAGGTATTATAATAAAAAAAAGCACTAAACCTACAAGGGTCATACAGCACTGCTGGGCATGGAAGGATGCAAAGGTAATAGGTAGCATGAGGGAGAGGGATGATTATAAGGGAATGCAGCAGGGCAGTGGATAAGGTAATAAGGAAGAAGAGTGCTAGAAGCATCATAATCAGAGTTTGTGAGGTAAATCAGTCACTGTCAAAAAGTCAATGAGAGAGTCTGGATTAAAGGAGGGTCCATCAGCAAGAAGGAAAGGTAAAGAAAGGGCAGCAGAGCAGGGACGACGACGGAGGTAAATTCTGCGTGCTCGTTGATAGAGTGGACAGTCCAACAGAATGCGGCTAACAGATACAGTGG